AAAGTGGGAGAATACAAGCTTCTGGAACGAGTCGATCTTGTCTTGTAACGTCATAAGGTCGGTGATGGTCTCGTATCCCTCATTGGGGTCATTGATAGCCTTGAGACTGATATACTCTTCGTATTCGAAGGTTCCGTTGAACTCGGGATGCTGTTGGTGGAACGAGAGCTTCGCGAGCAGGTAATAGACGTATTCCTTGATCAGGGGGCCGTATCCTCGCATGCCCTCGCCCGACGTGCCACGATTCAGGCTGTCGATCCACCCCCTATTGGCCATTGCCTCCCTCAACGTGATGGGATGGCCCTCCTGCAGGACCTTGTGAACGGTGATCAGTGCCTTGAAGGTCTGGACCTCGTCGGCGAGAATGGGCTGGACCTTGAGTCCAGCCCAGAAGGACTGGGAGGATTTGTGATCCCATGTGTATACAATGCAGCTCCGAACATGCTTGCGCTTCGGGGCCGTTTCGTCGGGGCTCGTTGCTTTCTTGATGTTGATGGCCAACTCGGCCTCGGACCTGCGAGGAGGAAGCATCGTCGGTCAGTATGGCAAGGCTTTGCAACATATGATCTGCGCACGATAGTTTGAAAGCAAAGGTAGGTAGGTAAACGCACTTTGTGTGGTCAAGACTACGGATTGTAGCCATGTTGGGCAGCAAGGTAGGTATGGAGCTCCCAATATTATACCTGCTTGCACCTGGGATGTTTCACTGCTGCTGCTGCCACTAAATGCGCCAAATCATGAACGAGGCGAGCACTCAAAGATGTCAACATGCGACAGCACTGGGCGCACCGCCAATATGCGCAGAGCGTGTTCTGGGGGAAGACCAGTTAAGGGAAAGCGGGCTTCACGGAAATTGCAGCAATTCAAGAACTAAAATGCGTCGAACAGCAAGTTATTAGGTCGTGGAGCCCGAAGCTTGCCTCCTGTCGTCGTCAGCCTTCCGCTGCCAAGTTGCAAAGCCATTGACATTGCATCCAATCCAACCTGCGACTGTTCGACAGCTGCCGCCAATCACATGGCCTGGGATTCGCAGCGCGGACGGCCCGGCGCAGTGGGGTTTTGGGGGACCTTGTCAGCTGCCTGCGAAATGAGGCATGTTGACGTCCCTGGTGCAACCCCGCCTCTAGCCTTCTTTAGCCTGCCATTAGACAGGGGCTCCAGGCTGCCTGCGGTGCCCTGCAGGTGATGGGAGAGCTCTCCAAGCGCGGGCGAGGCTGCCTTCCAAGCTCGTCATGCTTCCGGCCGAGCTGTCACGAGGATTCAAGTGCACTTCGTCATCTGGTTTCGACCTTTCTCTCCCACGTACCATCTTGCATCCAATCCGTTGATTCTTGTCTAATAAAGTAGCAAAACTTTATCCATCATTCAAAAGAGAAAGCCGCCTTTGAAGTCTGGCCCGTTTCAAACTTCGGTGTCTCCCCTTATCTGCAGCGACCTCCATTTAAATACCCCACCCCCGCCCTGTGACTCCGGAAGTAGACTGTCCATCCCATTTCCAACCTGCAGAAGAGAACACAACCGCAGCTATCACGATGAACGTCCTCTACTCCACTGTCAACAGCCTGCGCGACCGGTACATGCCGGCAAGCCATACGTCAACATTCCGAAAGGATGGTTGCATCACTCCCGAGGAGTTCGTCGCCGCCGGCGACTACCTGGTGCACAGGTTCCCGACTTGGTCATGGGCCGATGCCGACGCTCCAGCCAAGCGAAGCAGCCACCTGCCTCCGGGGAAACAGTACTTGGTCACTCGTCATGTTCCATGCAATCGCCGACTGAACGAGGACTTTGCTGGAGATGCAGGCCATGAAGAGGCGGTGGTGGAAGGCGGCAAAAGCAACGACGAGGACGGATGGCTTCGGACCGGCGGCCTGACAAGCTCTCAGCCGCTCAAGCTCAGAGAGGTGCGCACCGTGGACGATGCCGGCAATCTCGGCGACAGGGAGGTGATCGAAGATGATGATATTCCAGACATGGAAGACGACGAAGACGATGAAGCGATCATTCAAGATGCTGCAGCAGGCGGCTCAGCCAGGTATGGACCACCAGCACCGCCTTCACATTCCACATCGCTTGAGCTTTACTAACATGCTGTTCTCCTCAGCGCGAAACGCACGTACTCGCTCTACATCATGTACTCGCCATACTACAGAGTCCCCCGGTTGTACATGTCCGGTTACGCGGCCAACGGCCAACCTCTTGCCCCGCACCTCATGATGGAAGACATCGTGGGCGATTACACAGAAAAGACGGTCACCCTGGAGGATTTCCCCTTCTTCTCCTCAACGGTTAAGATGGCCAGTGTGCACCCTTGCAAGCACGCCCCAGTAATGAAGACACTGCTTGACCGCGCTGATGCGGCCCTCAAGCTGCGGAGGGAGAAGCAAAAGGCTGCGCAGGCTAAGGGTAGCAAGAACGGAGTTGACGCTCTTGCTGCCCAGGTCAACAAGCTCGACGTCAGCGACGCGGATACTGGTGACAACACTGAGGACTGGGAGGAAGTTCAGCCTGATTCCGAGGATCAGGAAGTCGCCATCCGGGTCGATCAGTATCTTGTGGTCTTCCTAAAGGTTTGTCTCTGAAAGCTTCTTATTTTACAAAGAGCATCATTAACACTCTTCTATAGTTCATTGCCAGCGTAACCCCTGGGATTGAGCACGACAATACGATGGCTCTGTGAGACGAATAATATCTTTCTTTCCCAAGTGTTTCTGAATTATTTCTTTCTCGGGGGGTTTATCAAAGATGGCCGGCATTCGGGCTACTTTATTTACAGGTAGACAAGCTCACTTTACGGCGGGGACTAATGGCAGGGATATCGGAGTTTTTATGGTTTGGGTCTTGAAATAGGGTAATGGGACAATCGCTCTTAAACAGCCAACGAGTTGGCGGTATCCAATAGCACACAATGATAGACTTTTAGGTTGGTGGACATCAAACTCTGGGCTCGAGACCGGAGATGGCAGCTTGTGATGTCGCACAGGTGATTGGTAAAAATTTTTAGGCGTGTCAGGTGCACGTCTGGCCCACGAAAATCAAATGACATTTCTTGACCTCGGGTAAATTTCATTTGCTCCCAATTTCTCTTGTTCACCCCATCAAAGTCAAGGGGGGCCGAGCATCTCCCCACAGTTCCCGGCCTCCCCCACATTCCCAGAAAATCCATTATTTTTCAACAGCTGCTTGCTGTATTTAATTATATAATAAAACAGAAACAAATTTTTTATTTTTATTTTTTTGGTGGGAGGGTTCTATTTTTAACACAAATTTCAATCAAAATACATAAGGAGTGACATTGATGATAATAATAATAATAACTAAATGTTCCTAATGATGGTCCTGGACCGGACACCCACACGCACACACACACAAAGCCTTGCATCATCATACCGCCCCCTACTACTGGACTAATAATAGTAATAACCATAATACTACTTCCTAACTAATCAACCAAGGTTGCATGTGGGTAAATTGGAACGGCACCGGCCCGCTGCCGAGCAGCTCCAAGCGGATCGCCCATCCCCTTAGCGCCGCCTGTGGGTAAGTGGGTAGGTTAGTATATATATATATATCTATAAAAGATCCCTGCAATCCATTTCTCACAACCTCAGCAGTGAGGGAGAAGTGAGGGAGAAGAGAAGAGAAGAGAGAGAAAGAGCTGCACTAACCTTTCCTGAGGCATGTTCTCCTTGTCGTCGTCCTTATCGTCTCCACGGGTGACGGTCACGTCACCGTCGTCGTCCTTGTCGTCTCCGCAGATGACGGTCGCGTCGTCGTCCTCGTCGTCCTCGTCGTCCTCTTCATAGAGAACCGTCTCGTCGTCGGTGTAGAGAAGGTCCTGTTCGGTCCAGATATCCTCCATCTCGTCGTCCTCGTCGGAGAGGGCCTCCGATACCGCCATCAGGTATCGAAGGAGGGCCATGCGCGGCACCAGACCGATGTCCTCGGTTTCGGGATCGGCGTTGTAGTCTTGCACATCGTCGTCGTAATCATAGTCATAGTCCGGGATGGGCTCCACTCCGAGCAAGTAGCAAAGCAGGGCCATGCGCGACTCTTGGTCAAAGTGTCCCAGCCAGAGCTCGTACGCGAAGTCTTCGTCCTCGTCCTCGTCCTCGTCCTCGTCCTGGTCAAGGGCGATTCTTATCGTATACTCACTAGCTTCGGTGGGCGTGTTATGACGCCTACTACGCTCGCCGTCGTCGTTGTTCTCTTCGTCCTCCCCGGCGTCCTGCCGCTGGGGGGTAGAGGGGGCGCGGCGGGGGAAGCGGTGGCTGGTTGTCATTTTGAGTGTGTGAGTCAGACGTTGGCGGCGGTGGTGGTGGTGGTGGTGATGGGGAGAGTGAAAGAGCGAAGAAATGAGGAAATGAGAGAGAGAGAGGAGCGGGGAATGGCTGAATGAATGAATGACTGAACGACTGAATGAATGAATGAGTGCCCCGGAAGGAAAAACTTTTCAACTTGAACGGGAGGCTAAGACATGCATTTCAATACTTGAACTGTGTTTGGTCAGCCGGGGCGGGATGGGATGTAGGTCTGAGGGGTATTTCAGCGCCACCGGCCAATGCGATGGCAGAGTTCTCAGAGACTAACTGGAAGATCGTCGATTTGTAACTATCACGCAGAACCAGAAGCGCCTGTTACACCGCGACGGGCAAGCCCAGTTAATGCAAAGGGAGATTTGTAAGTCGTCTGCCGTGTTTTTTCCTCTTTAGGCCAGCCAGCCAGCCAGACAGCCAGACAGCCAGCCAGCCGGCCAGCAGTTGTTCTGGTATCACGTTCACAACGCCGACAACTTGCTTGGGACACTCTTCTCCTACGGGGTCAGAGGCCCTTTGAGAATAAAGATTGGGAAAGCAGCCGTGGTGCGGCATCATGCCTCTGGCGTAACCATAACTCTCTCGAGTCTTGAAGCACTGGCGGCAGGAAATTGGTTGGTGATCGCTTTCTTCAAACCGTCACCTCGACGGTGCCTCCCATTTCATAAAAATAATGCATCCTCATCCTCTGTGGCGCAATTTTGGCTAGCGCGTCTGACTGTTATCTAATCAGGAGGTTGGAAGTTGGAGCCCTTTCCCGGAGGAGATGTCAATATTTTTGGTTTCATTAGACATCTAGATTGTGTGGTTATTGCACCTTCAAAAAAAATTTAAATTTTTTTTTTTATTATTTCTTCCCTTTTCCTCACTCTGAAATCTTTTTGGGTGCAAGCAAACAGCCAGTATTTATTTTCACGTTGCTCGGGGAGGGGGAGTCCCACGCTAAAGTTTTGGAGACAAAAAAAGAAAATGGGTGGCAGGGCATGTTTCACCACCACGTTTAACCCTAACCTGGAAAGCCTCGTGCCATTTTTTGCCCCCTATCCACCCCCTATCCACCCCCCTCCCCCCCCCCTTTTTTTTCTTTTGTTCATTGTTTACTTTCTCTGTTTCGGGCGAAAAAAAATGCGCTCAAAAATCGCCTGTAATCTTTCGATTAGTCACTGCCTCTCCATGATAAGATTGTCGTCAAGGCGACCAAGTGAGTGAGCGGTTGCACACACCGAAATCGCTTCTTCCCATCATACTGGCGCAGAGAAGAAAAAAAAAAATGACCCCCTTCATGATGATGATGATGATGATGTTTTTAGGCAGATTGAAGTTGTCTGTGACGGTTGAGTCAATGCCTAAAAGGAATGCCAGAATTACAAGGTTACCAACCGTCACATTGTCACCTCAAATCTCATTTCTTAACTATTAATACTGAAGGAAAAGAAAGAGTAGATATCCTGGGGTTCGCGTGTGTGTGCGCGCGCGCGCGTGTGTGTGTGTGTGTGTGTGTTACCAATTTGGCCGAGGCCATGCGTGCCTCCATTTTTACTCATGATAATGCTTATTTAGATGGTTCACAAATTCGATGCGCTCATTTTGCAAAAAGACTCGATTTCTTTTTTTCATCATAACATTCTGCTACTCCTGCACCCTATCTGACTACCCACACCCCCCTGCCTCGAAACCTCAAGTTGCCCTCAGACTCATAGCGTACACATACATCATAGCAAACAGGCCGGCGATCCAGTAATAACCATAGACGAATGCCGCGCCGCAGCAGAAGACCATGACTAGCTCGAGAAAAGTGATAAGCAGCCATGACCTGAGGTTGAAACTAGGGATTGGCGACGGGGGAGGAAGCACCTCGATGTAGTAATTTCTGGCGGAGTCGGGAGGGGGGTTTCCTGCAGCCTTTTCAACGTCGGAGAGAGGCTCGCGGGGGATGGGGATGGCAATGACTGCGGAATAGGGAGGTGGCTGTAGCTGCGGAGTTTTGAGCTGCTTGTCAACGTCAGGCAGGGAAGAAAGGGGGGGGGGGGGTACGAAGTGATTACAGTTTCGATCCACTGCCTCAGCCTCTCCTCGTCATGAGGGGCAGCCCGAATGGCAGCCCGAGACTTTGGGGAAGCCAGGTTGGCTGTTTGAATTGTGGGTCCGGGAGTATTTGTGGTGGTATTGGAAGGAATAAGACCAACCGTGAATATGGCTGTTTGATATTATGGAACAATGTGATGAATGGAGTTGAGAAGATGGATACTTATACGGGACAGGGACGAGAAGATGAAAAATGGAAAATGGAAAATGAAAAATGAAAAATGAAAAATGGGCGGGCGCTCTGAACTACCCCAGGCCGCGCACCACGGAACCGTGGAAACCCTACCCATTTGATATTCGATCGAGAGGGTGTGCAAGGCAAACGAGGCTGGAATGCGTTTACCCGAACAATGATAGCAAGCAGACTTGCGTCTCATATTGGGAACACAGCGTCAACCTCATACGTGCCACCACCAATGAAACCGAACGACGTCGCGCACGTCAAGTATGTAGTGCAACTCGAGGTACAAATCAGACTCCGCATCTCGTTATCGTTTATATACTCATAATGTCCATCATGCAATGCGACGCTCACGAATTCGCAGAACAAACAAGCCAGAGCCTGTGAGTCCAGACTCCAGACGTGGATTCCATCCCGCGGGGGTTGCATTGCGTTTGGAGGTGGGGAGTTTTGCGAGTTTCGTGGTTCGGCAATAAGGGAGGAGACAGTGAGAAGCGGCAGACACCCGCATCGTATGATACCTACCGATGCTTGTGTCCGGTTCGAAGAACGTTGATTGCAACGTTAGTTGATCACGGTAGTTTTGCTTCACCCCGGCCGCGCTGGCGGATGGGTAGGAGCAGGACAACTCGGTCGGTGGTTGTGAAGAGATCCCGTCTGGTCCCACCATCACAATTTAAAAAAAGAAAAAAAAAAAAAAAAAAAAAAAAAACCAGTCTGCGTCATGCGGCTGCCGCGGTGGTGGTCTGATCGATGAGGGCAGAAGCAGACAGACTGCTTGACAAAAAATTGCCAACGCATCAAGGGGGGTTGCAGCTGGTTGTTGCAGCTGGTTGTTGCAGCTGGTTGTTGCAGGAGGTGCTCTCCTCTGCGGGTAGTTGCAGCACCGGTGAAGAGATGCAGTATTCTATCAGTGACAGTGAGTGTCCGTCGGCAGCAGTCCCTTCCGTCGCCCCTTCATGCCATTGCCCATCGGAGAATTATGTCGCTACCCGTAAGTGATGAAGGAAAAGTCGACAAGAACCTCCCTCCAAGTGCCTACCGGTCTTCTACCTCTCGATACGAGATCCATAACCTTGTATCCTGCAGGTCAGCTGCCCGGTGCCCAACATCCATCTGCACAATGCAAGGAAACGAGATGAGCTCCCCGACGGACCGCCGGTCATGTCTTCGTGCCCCCCTCTGTCCTCCTCTCCCATCCCCCAATCCCTGCGTGACCAAGAGACCTTCATCACAGTCACTATGACATCACGAGCTGGATCAGATATATTGCCATCATGGTGATGGGATTGCGGCTACCCGAATACGAAGTTTTGGTGTTTGGAGGTCGAGTGGTGCCCGGGGAATGTCGAGAAGGGGCCGGCCCCCTACATTCAGACAAACGAGCAAACAAGCTTGCAAACGAGGCTTGCAAACGAGAGTTCCGGGAGGAAGAGGTGCATTGTGTAACCCGCAGACCGGGGAGCGCAGAAGGGGAGCTGTCATAGTAATTTGAGATACGTCTCCTGGTGCCGAAGTTCAATTGGCCAGCAGCAGCAAAGCTACGGCACAGTTGCTTGACGAAAAGCATGGCGAACAAAGTGCATGTATTCTCTAACCCCACAAAACGGAACCTTTTCATTTGCAGGTATGTTTGTCCAAATCATCAGCCAGCATCCGCCTGCAGCATTGACGCCATGGCGTTGTCGAAACTTTCTACTTCTCCCTGCCCCTGCCACTCCCGCTACCCGGTTCTATGCAAAGCCTATCCGATGGGGATTATCGTGGCCGCTCAAAAAAAAAAAATGAGAAAAAAAATTGCCTCGGGCTGCTTTGCCCGGGGGTCATCGGTGATCTCGGGTGGTAGAATCTGCCTAGCCCACAGTCATGGTAACTACTGGTTCATCTTCTTCACGGGAGATTTTGTTTCCTCCCTTGAGAAACATATCGATATCCAGAGGAGTGCATTTCTCCTATGCGCATGTACATGTACACGGCAGTGTTGGCTACCATCTTCTTTCCCCTCGACTCAGGTCCTGCTATGTCAGTTATTTTATTCTTCTGTGCAAGAGGTGAGAGGCATCGTCAAGTCAACAGACAACGTAAGGGATATGAGATTACTTGAATCCCTTTTGTCAAAGCGAGCCAACTTTCGAACAAACACACTTTGATTTCTCAAAAAAAAACTTTATGTTGGCAAATAATAAGAACATACACACTTGATCCATCCATCCATCCATCCATCCCTAATTATCTCGGCTTTCAACTTTAAGAACCCTTGAATCTTGTTTCCATTTTTTCTCCTCTTCTCCTCTCCTCTCGCCTGTCCTGTCCTTTCAATAGGAACCTGGAACCTCCCGATAGCTCACAATAAAACCTTTTCAAAAAAAAAAAAAAAAAAAAAAAAAAAAAAAAAAAAAAAAAAAAAAGACAAAAAAAAAAAAAAAAAAAAAAAAAAAAAAAAAAAAAAAAAAAAAAAAAAAAAAAAGCAAAAAGAGCAAAAAAAAAAGCAATAACAAAGCTAGGACATACTACGGATAATCAAAAACTAAAAAACTAACAAAAAGAAATTTCATGACTGCAAACACACTATTGGGGTGACAAGTATCTTTAGTCAGCTTCTTCTTCTTCTTATTCTTCTTGTTGTCATGAATATATATATATATATATATATATATATATAAAAGAAAGAAAGAAAAAAAAAAAAAAAAAGAAGAAAATAAGCCTTAGGTTCAATAAAACATACATACCTAGGTAAGCAAGCCTCATTCCCTCCCTCCCTAAACCTAAACCACAGCCTTTAAGCCTTGTACTTCCTGTTGCAAACCCACCGGCACTGGCTCCAGTCCTCCTCCACGTCGACGTACACGGGGTAGTCGTCGATTGTGCAGTCGTAGCCGCTGTACAAGGCAGGCGGGCAGGCCTCGACCCAGGTGGGGATTCGGAGCTCGACATTGCACCTGGAGCAGACGCGTCTCCTGTATGTGCACATTGTTGTGATTTGTGAAATGTGATTGTGGTAGTCTGTTGAAGATTTTTTTTTTTTTTTTAAAGGAATGAGAAAGTTTCTTCTTTGATTTTGTTTGTTATTCAACTGAATTCTTTAATGAACAAGACGTGGGAGAGGAGTTTGGGGGATTTAATAAAAGACGAGGGAGGGAGGGAGGGAGGGGGAAGGGGAGAGTGAAAAAGTCGTTCTGTTTGCTGTTTGCTGTTTGCTTCGTGCATGTTGCCCGGCTACATACATACCCAAGGTAGGGTAGCACCACATCCGGATGATTGATAAAACTGTAGGCTGAGTGAGCTTGCATTTTGATAGGATATTGCCCAATACAAGACGTAAGTAAAATTTGACACGATAACCCAAATCACACATGTCACTCAAGCGCTCTACTCGAGCAAAAATCTTGTCCCTCAGAGACTTGGGAAGCTATCCTTCCTTGTATCAATTTGTAGTTTTTTTTCTTTTTCAGTTATAAAAAAGAGACCAAAAAAGGGGAGAACTGCAAAGCTACCTTCCA